AAATCTTAGCCATTCATCCAAAACCCCAGACTTTTATAAAATGACAAAAATGCCACTCAAGTCCCCAAAATTACGAAAGTGCCATTAACCCTACTTACAAATTAAAACTAAAGTTTCCAATTCAACCTAATCGACTATTCACCTTCTCCCTTATTCGAACGGAACCCAACCCAGGCGGCGACAATAACCAACCTCCATCCGACCTCTCTTCTTCTTTTCTCTCTCAGTACTTTCTCTCTCACTCTCTCACTCTCTCCCTCTTTCTCTCTTCCTCTCCTCCTCCTTCTTCTTGTTTCCATTTTCTCCCTCGGCATCATTCCCTGCTACTCCCCACCATTGCAACATCGAGCAGTAGCGGTTGTACCGTTCGTTTCCTGCCCTATCACATAGATCTCTCCCTCTCTTCCTTCTTCTTCTTCTTCTTTGTTACATTTTCGTCGGTGCAACTGGTTGTAGCAACGAATTCCAACCTAGCGATCTCCCATTCCACCAAAGAAACCTTTCCCTCTCTTTCCTCTCTCTCTTTTATTATTCATTTTTTTTCTTCTGTTTCTACGTCGAGCCAGTTGATGCCCCTCTGTCACCGTCCAATCCACTACCGAACTAGAAGCAGTGATGAATCCAATCAGATCTCTTCACCTCCCTCACTCCCTTTCTCATTTCTCTTTTCTGTCTCTTTCTCCCTTCCATCGGATTAAATCCCCTGATCATTGGATTCAAAATGAGACTGTCCACCATTGGAACCAAACCACAGCAGCGGCAGACCTCAGCCCGAGATTGATGGTGCAAACCTTTCGGCAGATCTCATTTCTCTTTTCTCGAGCATGCTTTTGATCCCTTGATCTAGCTCCTCGAAGTTCGAAGACCAGTGACACGCATTTGTCAGCTCGGCCGATTCCCCTATTCATCCATTATTGAGTTCAGGCTAACATTCAACCCTGCTAATCCTTACTTTAGTGGTATATTTCTTTGGTATTACGTTGTTTCTTATGTTTTGTTTTTCTATCCTATTTACCATGAGTTTCGATGGATTGTTATCGTGTATTTCATTTCGTTGATTATAATTTTTTTCTCTCATCTGATACCGTTATTGCTAATGCTTGTGTTCAACATATTATGTTTTGCATATATTCTATTCTGCATATATTCTCTTCAACATATTTAGTTGATTGGATTGGATTTTTGCTAAATGCTTCAATGCTTAGGATTGTGTTTAATGTCGTTATGATTTACTTAAGTTTTCTTAAGCTGTATACTCTAGATGTTCAGTTCAGATTTGTGAATCTAATTGAATGATTACTAAAGTCGGTTTCTTGGATTGGAAAGGAGAAGGACCTAGAAGTTTAGTTTGCCGATTATGCTTTAATTAATTAGATAATTACTTATTTACGTTTGTTGGTATACCATGTGGTCCCCACTTATTGGACCCAGGAGAGGGGTGCCTAACCCCTTCCCTCTCCCATCTGAGACCTACCCAGATGGGTGTAGCCCTAGGCTTTGGAGTTACTATTAAATCGAACACGTTTTTTTATGTTGATTTTGGAGGTCTCATCACCTCCAATTTCGTATTTGATGTGTGGCGACTCCATTTCCAGTCCAAGTGGCAAGTGTGCCAGTTTTTCTGATGCTTACAGAGGCTGGACGAGGTGAGGTGCCCGATAGGAGGCCGCCCTCAAGGTAGCCGCCCAACTGAGAGCCTGGGGCACCATGGCCAGCACATGTCTCCGGACCCATTGACTATTGGCCTAGTCGGATCTAACAAAGTCAACTCCTCAGAGTCCAACAATAGCCGATGCACCAACCAGTCACTAAGGACCTCTCGACCCCCTAGTCGAAGAGGGAACGAATTTGCATAGTCTTGTAATCACTGCCGAGACCAAGAACATCATCACCGCCATCAACGAGAAAATTTGCGGGACGAAGGCAGGTGATCGGGCCACCACAGCCTCCCTTTGAGGGCTGAGGACCGACGCCGCGCCTCTCCCTCTTGCATCTCGGATCTCTGGGGCCTCCTGAATGACAAGCGGGCCAGAAGAAACAAACACGTGCCCGCGTCAGAATACTCAGTGTCAGCACCCGATTTTTGCTTGGTCCGCCGCCTGAACCTCCAATTTACCTCAAACACCCATTCAACCTCTCCGAAACACCAAAAAAAACAAAAATCCCAAATTTCACCCCAAGAGCCATTAGATGAACCATTGAACCTACCCAATACCTATCCAATGGCCCCGATCAACCCCCACTTACACCTCAACCATTAGATCAGACACAACCATCAGACCCATGATCTCCCGAAACACCTACCCATGAAATTTCAGCCCTAGATTCCCCTGTTACCCACTCATCAAACAAAAATTCCATTTCGACCTTTCTCGTTAACCTAAACATTTGGAACCCAGATTCCCTTGATCTTGACACATCCGAATAGATCAAACCACACCATTAAACTCTGGATACATCAAAACACTTGCCCATAAAGTTTCAACCCCAAATTCCCCTATTTGCCCTTTCATCAAACCAAGATTCCGTTATAAAACATCCTATTGGTTCAAATTCTTACGACCTTGACCCTCCAAAGACAGACCAAACCTCATCACTAGATCCCAGACACCCCAAATTCCCATTTGTGAAATCTCAGCCCAAAATATCCTTATTTTCCCTTCGGTTACAGAAAGATTATGTTTTAAGGCTCTGGATTGACTAGATTCCAAGTCCTTCCGATTTAGGCCCGTTTGACTCAACCTGACCTTACCAATCACTTCAGACCAATATTTTATATCATCAATTTATGTAATTGTATCATTAATTTCCAATATTTTATATTTTTATGGTAATTGTAAATGAGTATTTAAGATGTCACTTAACAATATTATTTTTTTCTTAAATTTCAGCATATTATTTAAATCCAACCTTTCAATATAATCATGATCTTACTGTGAATGAGGATTTATTGTCATCTATGAAAAAAGTCATTACAAAGCTGGAGCCAGATGAAACCAAAACTGCCCTTATCTTACAAGAGGTAAAAGTGTAATTGTGTAAGTTGATAAATTATATAATAATATATTTTGATAATATGATACTAATATCTGTTATTTTTAATTAAGTCAAAAATATTCCATGAAGCATTAAGTGGCTTTGCAGATCTTGTGGCCGTTAAAGCAAGAATAATAACTGACCTAGGTAAATTAAAATTTTAATATATTTTTTATTTTTCTATTCTTTAATTTTAAATTATATATATTGTTTTTTAGTTGAATGGTGGTTGATTTATGGCCAAGATGCCCTACATCTTCGTAAAATAGCAACAAGGGTATTATTACAAATGACTTATTCTAGTGGTTGTGAACGAAATTGGAGTACTTTCGACCTTATTCATACAAACAAGAGGAATTGTATATCATATGACACTTTAGAGAAGTTAGTATATGTCCATTGTAACATGAGATTGAGGGTTATATACCTTGTTAGAGATAGAATACATCCATAAGGTTATTTCAACACAATTAATCTTGATGATATATATGATGAAGAAGATCTAGTGATATCTTTGTTAAAAGATACTGAAAAAAGAAATAAAGGTCTTAGATGAACTAGGTAATCTTTCAATACCTAATCCCTATATTGCTAATCAAATGGGGATAAAATGTTGATGATCGGGTCAGAGAATAGACTGGCAATAGTGGGACTAGTAATGGTAATTTCTCAATATGGATATGAATCATATGACACAGGTTGTACAACTACAACTCTTAGAAGTACAATGACTTCTTAGATTTTTTGTGGTTTTGCTGGAAGATACAGATCAAATTATCAGACTTAACCTTATTGTCAACAATGTTGTATTAGGGAGCAATTTGAGCATTTCAGACAAATATATACAATGTCATACTCTAATAGAATGAGTTGGGGCAAATATTGCGCTTTGGTTAAAGATCAACACAATGTAGATATAAGCAATTATGAACTTGCAAGAAACTCCATATAATATTGAATTATTGGTTGTCATCACATGATTTCAGGTATATAAGTAAATAACTTATCAAATAATTAATTTTTATTATGATTTTAATATTTATTTATTAATTATTTTTGAATTGTGTGTTATATAGGTTATTAATGGACATCATTCATGAAGGTATGTTTTACACTTCTATTACTAAATGTTTTTTTTCTTTAATTTTAGACATTAATATTTTGTGTTGAATCATGTATTGGATTATTAAATATTGATGTGATTATAATTTAAAAAACATTGTTTAGATGTTTACATATGTTGAGTATGATGAAGTTTCTCATAAATTCTATTAAAATATATTAATTTAATGTATATATATATTATTAAAGCCTTATATTTAGTGTTACTGATGTATTTTTATGTTATATTGAAGATTTTATAGTGTTCCTGTGTGTGTATTTATACGTATCTTAATTTTTCTTCGATACGCATGCATCCAAAGCATATCTGGATACGTATCTTAAAATTGCCTTCCTGATACACTAGGCGTATTCGATACTTTGAACTTTGCCTCAAACTGTCCAAAAACCCTACATTGTGAAATTTGATCCAAAATTGCCTTTGTTTGCCCCTTGATCACACATAGATTCCGTTTCGAGACTCTAAATTAACTGAATCGATTCCTTTCTCGGTCTTCCCAATCTGGGCCCAATTGAGCTAATCCAATCCTGCCAATCAACTCAGAATGTCTGAAAACCCCACCCTTTAAATTTTCAGCCAAACATACACTCATTTACCCTTTCATCTAAAATGATTCTATATCATCGGCCAATCTCGCTGGTCCACACTTGCAAACCCCCCTTTGTGATCAGACCCATCTCAACCTTCCATTTTTGACCCAAAATCTCAGCCTTCCGTCTAAAACCCCGGTTTGATCACCCTTTGACCCGGTTTGACCGTACTTTTCTAAATTACAAAAATGCCCCTCGGATTCCCCAAAATTACGAATATGCTCCTGCCTCCCATAAGCTTTCATTCGCCCTAATCGGAAGAATTCAAAGGAAACCCACTGTTCTCATCTACCCCCTGTTCGAACGAAACCAGCGAGCGGCAGAGGTGGTAATCCAGAGTATCTTCGAAGCTAGACGATGAGCTGAACTCCTAGTAGCGGTGCTCTTTCATTCCCACCTATAGTTGAACCAACTGCAGCCGTGGATCTGTCTCCTCTCAATATCAGACTAAATCCCCAATATGATCGACGGTTTCTGAGTCATCATAAGCTTCTGCTCATACCCATCGATAGTTGTAGAAGATTCGAAGAGTGAGTAAAGTGATACAATCTTGATTCCTCCGTTTCGTCAAGTGATTCCAGGCCGAAATCCCCACTAAGGTAATTTTGCAGATTTTATATTTTATTGTCTTGTGATTTTATCTTTTGGTGTTACATTCGATTGTCGATTGACAGAGGTGGCAATGAGGTTCCGTAGAGCTATCCTCTGTAAATCTTTATTTTACCTACATTGATGCTGATAATGAGATCCCTGTAATCGTTTCTCTTTCTCTTTCTCTCTCTCTCTCTCTCTCCCTCTCTCTCTCTCTCTTTGTGTTCTGTCTTTAGATCCTGTTTTGAATGAAGACGTTAGCGATGCTTTAGCTCTGATGTTGTTTAGTGCTAGATTGCCTACTGTCGTGGTCGTAGTTGCTTTAATCTGTTATATTGCCGATGTTTGAACACCAATAATTGAGCTTGAAAGGCATTAAACGGTTCAGTCTCTCCGGGGCTGAGGTAGAAAGCTCAAGATCTTTAGGTCATTCAGGAACTCACGCGTTGCTGATAAAAAAAAACAATAAAAGCGATTTGATAATTAAGGAGAAAGAATTCAAAACATAAAAAAATATGGACATACAGGACGAAAAAGGTGACTAAATAGAGGGGATTTTCTTTCAATTTCGCGCTTGGTTATTGGTATCCCATGTGGGCCTCACCTATTGGACGGGGAGAGGGGTGCCTAACCCCTTCCCTCTTCCATCGGAGTCTTACCCGGATTGGTTAGACGGTGCGTTGGGCTATTAGAGTCACTATTGAGACAAAATGATTTTGATACCATTATCAGAGGTTCCATCACATCCTTTTCTTATTTGATGGGTGGCGACTCCAATTCCAGCCCAAGTGAGTCGTTTTTCCGACGCTCACACTCAGGGAACCTGACCGACCTGTACTGCGTTCGAGAGAACCAAGATGGGGCCCAAGCCCCCATTGACCAGAAGATTGTCAACCTACAGGCATAGCTCGGTGCCGTCAAGAATGAGCTCCGCTAGGTCAAAGAGTGCCGAGCCGACGCCTCGGCAAGCCAGAATCCCCCGTCTAGGAGGATGGACGCCTTCACCCCGGACATCATCTCAGAGACTCTCCTGCCCAGTGATTTAAGAGGCGCGCCTAGGCGCACAGGCAAGGCTCATTTCAGGGTATGCGCCTCGCCTAGGTCCTAGGCGCAACCCTTTCAAAAGGCACACCAGTAGCCCGTGTGCCTTTTGAAAATTTGACTGTTTTTTTGCTTTTTTTGAATGAAGTGGCTGGGCCGGGGTCTCCACCCCGGACCCCCAATTTGGTAATGTTGTTCATTCATTCATCCTAATAAAATGTATTCTTAAGAAGCAATTAAAATTATAAAATCATTATTTTTTGTGTGAAAACTAAGAATTTAAGACCTAATGTGGACTTGTTTGGGCTTGCCTCGAGGGGTGTGGCACAAAGGCGGCTTGTAGAATTAGGAATGTAATATGTTTTACATTACGTTAGCTACTTGAAGTGATGCAATTGAATGAAAAAAGAGAATAGAGGTTTTACATGTTTGAAAATGTTTATATGTTTGGTTTTATTTTTAAATTCTCATTTGAATATGCTTTACATCTTATGTTTATGTATTTTAATTTTAGATAATAGGTTTTTTAAAACATTATTTTAAAATTTAAGTTTATATTTTTTATTAATATTATGTTTAATATCTTTTGATTTTTTTTGAATTTTTTGGCATTTTTTTTGATATTTTAGCATTTTTGTATTTTTGCGCCTTGCTTAAAAAAGGCGTGCGCCTTGCCTTGCGCCTCAGGCGCAAATTGACCCTTGTGCTTTTTTGCGCTTTGCGCTTTTAAAACATTGCTCTCGCCGCACTTCAAAGTGCCAACGCTCAAGATATATGATGGAACGACCTACCTAGACGACCACCTGGAAAGTTTCAAGGCACTTATGCTCCTCTACGGATACTCCGACGCCCTGACGTGTCGGACTTTCTAGGCGACCTTCAAGGGGGCAGCCCGCCGATGGTTCTTCGGTCTCCCCCCTCGGTCCATTAGCTCCTGGGAACAATTTTCCAGTCTCTTCCTCACCCACTTCATCAGTAGTCGACGATGCCAGAAGAGCGTCGTCTCGCTAATGGCTGTTCGACAGAAGCGTGGCAGAGCCTACAGTCCTACATTGACCGCTTTAAGAAGGAGGAGCTCGAGGTCCGGGACCTCGACCCCATGGGTCTCCATGAACATAGCCATTAACGACCTCCTGTCGAGCTTGGCCCTCAAATGCTCAGTAGCCAAGACACTGCCAAGGTCCAAGGGGGAATTTTTGAAGAAAGCGCAAAAGTATATTGCCGCTGAGGAGGCCTTGGCCGGCGACCGCTAGGAGGGAGAGGCCGACCACCACCGCGAAGGCCCATAGAAGAAGAGAAGGAATGGAGATAGCCGCAATGACAACAACAACAACAACAACAAAGACAACAAGAAGCCACCGGCCACGACCATAGCTTACTGCAAATACACGACACTCAACTCCACTCGAACACAAATCCTCATGCAAGTAGGGAAGGAGGAGTGCGTGAAGTGGCTAGAGAAGATGAAGAGAAACCCCAAGAGGGGTAACCCAAAGAAGTACTGCAAGTATCACCGCAGCACCAACCATGATATCGAGGACTGTTATGAGTTGAAGAACGAAATCGAGTCCCTCATCTGCCGTGGCCATCTAAAGTACGTGGGGGACGAGGCCGACGCCTCGTCCTTGCAGCAACAACAACAACAACTAGCATACGTCATAGACGTCATCATCGGAGGCACAGCCTCGGCCTGCAAGGCCTACACCAGGCAGTTGAACATCTAGGGGCCAGCTCCAAGAAGCCAAAGTAGAATGAAGCCCTACAGACGAGGACTTGAAGGGGATCTCGGTCCCCCATGACGACGCGCTAGTAGTATTTGTCGTCGTCTCAAACTTTATGGTGAAGAGGATATTGGTGGATAGTGCCAGAACGCCTCTAGCCTGTCGATGTGCCACTCGTCGGCTTCTCCGTGAACGTGGTCAGACCGGAAGGAAGAATCGCCCTACTAGTCACGATAGAGATGGAACCTCGGTAGATAATGAGGATGAATGAGTTCCTAGTCGTGAAGATCGACTCCCCCTACAACGCCATCATTGGGAGGCCGACCCTCCACACGCTCAAGGCAGCCATCTCCTCTTACCACCTCTTCCTCAAGTTCCTCACCGAACACGGCGTCGAAGTCGTTCGGGGGGATCAACAAGTCGTCCGCTAGTGCTATGTGGCAGCATTAAAGGGCAAAAACAAAGAAGCCTTGCCACTGGAGGGCCTCGACCTCAGGGAGGAACAAGCGAGCCGAGGCCAACCGGTCGAATACCTTGTCTCAGTCCCCCTAGACAAGGCCGAGCCCGAAAGATCAGTTCGCGTCGGGCCCAACCTTCCCCAAAAAGCCTATTCAAACTGGTAAGTTTCCTTAAAACTAATGTTGACGTCTTTGCTTGGTCCGTCGCTGACATGCCTGGAATTGACCCTTCAGTCTTTAGTCACAGGTTGAGCTTGGACCCGAGCTCTTGGCTAATTCGGCAGAAAAAGAGGAACTTTGCATCAGAGTGATGGAAGGCTACAGGAGAGGAAGTTGACAAGCTACATGACATCGGCTTCATTTGATAGGTACATTACTCTAACTGGTTGTCCAATGTGGTTTATGGTAAAGAAAGCTAACGGGAAATGCCAGATCTGTATTGACTTCATAGACCTCAACCGAGCCTGTCCAAAAGATGGTTTTCCTTTGCCGAGGATAGACTACCTCGTCGACGCCACCGCAGGGTTTGAGCTACTAAGCTTCATGGATGCCTACGCACAACCCAGTCGGTTTGATGCTTGTCTTGCCTACAAACATGGTGTTACGACTCGTCTTGCGCACGACCCGGACCCGGAGCTCGTCTCAGGCATGACTTTGACCTGCCAACGCGAGAACCCGTGGCGCACACGGTTCGCGCTCGCCACCTAAATCCGTCCCTCTCACGGGTTACGGTTAGAACCCGTAGCGTGGACGACCTGCGCCCGCCACCGAAATTCGCCCCCCTCACAGGTTACGGTTTGTTAGCAGCGAGACCCGTTCTACATACGACTAAGTCACAACCTCTTGTCTCCAAGTGTTACCCTCGGCGACCCTAGTTGAGGCCGACGCCTCACACAAACTCACCTTGGAATCAGTAAGAAGCACGACCGGGGGGCAAGGACCCGAGCTCCTGGGCACTGAGGCTTGGGATGATTGCCTCGGACAACAGAAGCCACTTGCAGCATCCCTCGAAGAGAAGAACGAAGACCGAGTCGACGCCACAACAAGAAACGATGAGTGCGTCCTAACAAGCCGAGGCCCTCGACAAAGGAAGCCCTTCGGCGCTTCCTAGAAAAGACAAGGCATTCCCCTCAGCCAAGGCCTCCGTCAGACAGGCCCAGCAATGCCTCCTAGCATAGATGACGCACTCTCTTCGGCCAAAGCCGAGGTCCTCAACTTAGACCTCTTCCACGGCCTCGAGAGTGGGGGACAAATGATGTAGGCGCACATGGCTTGAACCAATAGCACGTGCACACGCGCAGGCGGTGGCACCCAAGGTAGACCCAATGAGGGTGCGCAAAGTAGAGGTAGGTGCGCTACCGGGGACCAATGATGCGGTCGCACGTGGCGGCCTCGAATGACCACGCTCCTCAAGAAATGACCGCATCCTGATCGTTCGAGCTCACCTACCTCCAAGTGACCTCAAGTATAATTAGGGGCAACCCTCTCAAGGTAAACATCTGGAATCTAGACTTAGACTGCTAAGAACTCTCCAGTTTCCTTTGTGGCCTCGTCTGAGTGCTCACACTTCAGGCCTCGTCCACCTGGTGTTGCACCCGTACTAACTTGACCGTCGGAGTTCCCGCCTCGGGTTGGCACCCGGGGCCTTTGACATTCTCTCTCCCCGTAGGTCCGACCTACCAGTCTTCGGCCACAATAGACCTCGGACTCCTCAGCCAGCCCTTGGCTTGAAGCGAAATTGCAATGTTGCCCTTAGCCTATTCTGACCAGCAACACAACAAGATACTTATAATGGGTACAAAATCCTTCAACCATTGTCGTTGGAGGTAGGCCAAAGGGTATTTACAAATTCCAAATTGAAACAACAAGGGGTATTTACAATTTCTAAATCTTTACAAAATTTTGTATTAAATCAGGTATTTTATCTCTGATTTCCAAATGCTCTCGTTTCCTTATGGGGGCAGTAGTCTTTACTGTCCATGAGTGAATCCAAAATGGTCCTTCAAGTCCCAACTGTAAAAAAAACCCCAAACCCAAATCATCCACAAAATTATAGAACAAAGAAGTCCCGCACCTTGAATCTCTATTAAACAACTTTCATAGGTTGAATCTCTACTGAACGAGTTTGTAGCTTGAATAAAGAAGAACGAGTGTCGTCTGAAAAAGTTTTGTAGCTTGAATAGAGAAGAAGAATGAGTGCCTTCTTTTGAAAAAAGATTTGTAGTTTGAATAGAGAAGAAGAATGAGTGTCGTTGTCTGTTCGTGTTGTATTTATCTTGTCTTCGACTGAATAAAGCATTGGAGTTTGGATTTGGACTCTACACTTGCAATCGTATGTGACTATTACTGTGAGAGCTGAGAGGTGGAGAGTTTGAGAGATGAGAAGCTTGATCGAATGAGGGTTTTTCGGATTTCCCTCTCTTTGTTAATTGAGACAAAACCATCTTGTAGGGGGTACCATGATTGTAATTTGTACCTCAAGCGGAATTCATTAAAATAGTATAATATATATATATATATATAAATTTAAATATATACTTAATATATATAAGCCCTAAAGCTCCCGAGCCTAACAAGCGAATTTCAAAATGTTCGAGTTTGGCTTGATTTACATATGAATTGTATGTAAAGCTCAAATTCGGCTCGAAGCTTGATTTGGGCTTAGCCGAGCCAAGCTTTTTCACAAGCCGAACTCGAGCAGCTCGTGAATAGCTCGACTCGTGTCTACCTGTAGCAAGGAGAGAGGAGCGTGTCAAGGCACAAAAATAGAGAAACATCACAAGAAACTTACGGGCCTCATGGTTAAGAGAATTTGGCTGAAGTACAAAAAAAATTAAATAACCCAGAAGCATCAGTATACTTGGCAAATGTCGAAGCTCCAAATAAACCAACGGTAATACATTCATTTACAAAATTGAGGGAATAAATCCAAAGAAAAACCCTTTCTCGATAAACCTAAAAAACGAAAGCTAAGAACCGTCAATATAATTGGCAATGTCTGCCAGACCGTCAATGAAAAGGGTTCGTAGAGATTAAGAACCAAAAAAAAAAATACCAGAGAAATAGGGGAAGAAAAACTACACAACCAAAAGAATCAATTAGTTTTATTGACCTGTCCGCCATTGATGAGTTTTCAAGCTTTTGCCTTCAATTCCACAATGAAAGATGAAATAAACCCACGTTAGAGAGAAACCACACTCTAGGGCTGAAACCATTGGGTTGCTAGAGAAAAACCCTCTAATATTCTACCGGAGAGCGAGAAAAAGTTGCAAAACCCTAGACTTTTCTAGACTTTGATTGATTGAGCAAGCGGATTATTGAACGGACTTTGAGGCTTTGAACTACATCTGATTTGGTCCACCAATGTACTGGACGATGAAATTTTGGATCAGTCCAATCCGATGCAACAATTTGAACCGTTCAAACTGGTTCAATTGGTTACGGTTCGGATGGGTTCCAATCCAAACTCGGTCCATTGATGGCCCTACCCAGCTACCCTCCACCCAATCCCACCCGACCTTAATGGGTCACCCGCTCCATATTCACCTACCACTAGCATGGTCCTGCATTGATGATTGGATGGGCATGAGTGGGTTTCAACATGGGTGGGTCGAATGGATTGGGTGTTGAAACCCACCCACATTGACCCACCCACGTGGGTGGGTCAAATGGATGATTGGGTTTCAACCCAACCCATTTGACCCACCCACCGACCCATGTTGAAACCCACTCATGCCCATCCAATTATCCATGCAGGACCATGCTAGTGGTAGGTGAACATGGAGCAGGTGGCCCATTAGGGTGGGGTGGGATTGGGTGGAGGGTAGCTGGGTAGGGCCGTCAATCGATCGAGTTTGGATTGGAACCCATCCGAACCGTAACCAATTGAACCGGTTTGAACGGTTCGAATTGTTGCATCGGATTGCACTGATTCGAAATTTCATCCTTAGTACATTGGTGGACCAAATCGGATGTAGTCCAAAGCCTCAAAGTCCGTTCAATAATCCGCTCGCTCAATCGATCGAAGTCTAGGTTTTGCAACTTTTTCTCACTCTCCTGTAGCATATCAGAGGGTTTTTCTCTGGCAACCCAATGGTTTCAGCCCTAGAGTGTGGTTTCTCTCTCACGTGGGTTTATTTCATCTTTCATTGTGGGATTGAAGGCAAAAGCTTGAAAACTCATCAATGGCGGACAGGTTAGTAAAACTAATCGATTTTTTTGGTTGTGTAGTTTTTCTTCCCCTATTTCTCAGTTTTTTTTTTTTTTGGTTCTTAATCTCTACGAACCCTTTTCATTGGCGGTCTGGCGGACATTGCCAATTATATTGACGGTTCTTAGCTTTCGTTTTTTGAGTTTATCGAGGAAGGCTTTTTCTTTGGATTTATTCCCTCAATTTTATAAATGAATGTATTATCGTTGGTTTATTTGGAGCTTTGACATTTGCCAACTATACTGATGCTTCTGGGTTATTTAATTTTTTTTGTACTACAGTCAAATTCTCTTAACCATGATGCCCGTAAGTTTCTTGTGCTGTTTCTCTATTTCTGTGCCTTGACACGCTCCTCTCTCCCTGCTTCCCCTGATGCTGATGGGCTGGTGAGAATCAGTTTGAAGAAGATAGCCTTAGATGAAAACAGTTTATCTATTGCAAGAACCATTTACAAAAAGGGCAAGCATGCTTTCTAGAAAAAAATGTTTGCGGTAATTTGGGTGACTCAGATGTAGGTAGACTGTCCCCCAAAGAATTATTTGATCTGCCATAGTTTGGCCAGTTCAGATGCGGATATTGTATTTCTGAATAATTACTTGAATTCCCGATATTTTGGAGAGATTGGTATTGATATTGGTAATGCTGTTTTTGCAATAATTGGATTTTAGTTCGACTGAACTGTGATTTATTTCATGGTTTCTACTTTTGAAGTTTCCCTTATATTATGAAGTTTCAGAACTATAAAGTATAAATTACGAAGTTTCTCTTGTATTATGTGTATGAAGTTTGATATTAAGTGGGCAACCATTACTTGCAGTTTGTTCATTGAATTTAGACCATCAGTTCTGCAATCAAGAGAAATGTAGTTTGGACTGATTGAATCTAGTTTTGTGTTTTTTGTAAAATTTCTAATATATTTTTATAGTTTTTTATATTTTTTGAGTTTTTCATGTAAATTTTTAAAGTTTTATTCAGTTTGCATTTCAATTGGACCAATTTGGACTCGGTTTGTATGAGTTCAGACTGGATTGGATCCAGTCCATTTGTAAATGGGCCCATGTTGGATCAGATCAGATTGGACCAAATCCAGTCCAATTAACACCCCTTACTCGAGGGTGCCCATTAGGGTCAGGGTGGGTTGGGTTGGATCGAGGATTTATTAGTGAGGGCCTTTTTTAGGGTTGAAAGTTAAAACTCCAAACTTTGAAGGTTTCTCCTCGGACTCTCTGTGACAGTGAGGTTAGACCCACAAAACTCTCTTCATCTCCTCTCTGTTTACGGGTTGTTCAAATCGCCAAAACAAGCTTCAACATTGTTGTTGACTAGCTTCTCACCCTTGTTTCTCGTTGCCATCTTTCTTATCACCACCAATCTTACCATTGTTTCTCGCTGCCACCAATCTCGCCTCTGATTGGAGCTCCACATCCCTGATTGGTTCCACCAATCTCACCAAAGCAATGATGCTGTTTCTTGCTGCTGCTCGAAACTAAGGGACGAAGCTTCTTTTATTGTTTATGAAAAATGAAGTCTGGTCTGGAACTCGGTTCATCTGTACCAAATAAATGCTGAATATTATGTCCCTCCAAATTCCCAAGTTGTCAATTCCTCTTTCAGTCTTCTCCTCCTGGATACATTGGACCCCAATCAAGGCTGAATATTCTTTCGCAGTCTTCCAGTCATCCTTTTCCAGTTGTCAAGGCTGAATATTATTTCCCATCCATCTGCGTCCATTCTGGAATGTCACAGGAAGAAAAGTTAGGAACAACATTTTTTTTTGAACTTTATATTTATGGCATGCTCAATAAAAGCTTTTTCAGTTACTGATAAAAAACAATGTTGTTGGAACTCTCCTCAATTTCAAAAATTAAGTACAATGATTCAAAGAATTATTGGTTTTGTTAGTTCCTTATCATTTAAAAAATGTTTTGTATTAAGAAAAATGAATGAACAACAATCTTCCACTTTGTTAAAACAGTAGTAAGCCTATCAGTAGTTAACATCAGTTGGTTTTTATTTCAAAGCCTTGATGCTATATGACTAGATCATCCTAATAGGTTTTCATGAAAACAATCAAGTCCCAATAACCAAGTGCAATAATATTACCACTTGAATGCCCATGCATTTTATCTTTTCAATCAAATGGGGACAACTCTAGCTCTTCTTATAACTCAATTGTTTCGATGTCTCTTGTTTAGCATTTATAATTCTGGTGCAACAATGGATGTTCCTTCACCAACCCCTGGTTGGAGCAACATCGTTAAGAAACCACCACGTCCAACACAGCAAGAAAGTGCAGTGAACCGGGTTTTTGAGAGTTGTAAATCAAGTAAAGGGATCGCTGTTGCTGTTGTTGATGCCAATGCTTTGATTCAAGGTGGAGAGAAGCTGGCCCACATTGCTGATAAGTTTGTTTCAGTGAGTGAAGTCATGGAGGAGGTGCGAGATCCAGTCTCTCGACACCAGCTCACTTTTGTACCTTTTACAGTGGAGACCATGGAGCCTTCGCCTGAAGCATTAAAGAAAGGTTCATCACATGTTTTAATTTTTATTTTTAACTCCTTTTTGAATTAATTATGATAGAACACAATAATTAGTTTTGGTGCAATGTTTTGTATTAACAATGGTGTACCTTCTTGATGGTAATTTTTACAAGCCCGCTATTTGATGATATTTTGCTTCTAATGCTGAAAACATGCAGAGTAGCTAGAATTGTCATCCACTAACTCTTGTCGGTCTTCACCAAGTGGTATCCATAGCCAAATTGATGATTGGATGACCTCATTACCATTGTCATCATGTTAGCATAGCATTTCAGTGGGTCATTGGAATGATGTTTACTTTCATCACATTGGATCTTTGGATCAAGTCCTGCTTTCGCTTGTATTATCCATGGTTCATCAAGATATGCTAGGTGTTGATAGAAGAGAATACACCTGAAGATATAATGGATGCATTCATTATATTTTGTCAAGACTTGGCTTAAGAATTTTCTTTGTAATGCTATTGCATTGTGTGCCAATAAGGTTGAATATATTCCACATTTAAGTACATGTCATGAGTTTATCTCATCTGATATTACAAGTGCGGGGTTCAATATTATATTAATTAAAGGGCATACCTGTGAAAAAAATTCTGACAAAAGGAAAGAGTTATAGATTATGTGGTGTTTTCATAGTATTGTTATTTTGATTTCTGTGGAGTGAAATTTCTTTTATCTTTAACTTTTAGTTGATTTTCTTGTTCATTTTGATGTATCTGCATCCCAAAAAAGTGGTAGAGAAATGCTGATAAAAAAAAGTGGTAGCGAAATGTTTTTATAGAACCTCTCGTCATAGTTTCTTATAGGACGTATACCTCTCAAGGATTAGCGAAGTAATTTTTCAAAGTTGTGATTCAAGTGATGCAAGTGATTGACTTTGCCTTTTTTTTGCTAAATATTTTATGACTAAGTCATGTATTGCTTGGTAATGGAGACACTTATGCRGTTAATATGTTTTTACTTGTCAGTTATCAGCTTTGCCAGGGCAACTGGTGATCTACATACTCTTTCAGATGTTGATCTAAAACTTATTGCACTGACTTATACATTGGAAGCTCAGATCCATGGGATAAAGCATCTCAGGGACAATCCTCCACCAATCCATATAGTAAATGTAAAAAGGCTTGCTGAGAAAGAGATGCCTGGATGGGGCTCTAATGTTCCTAACTTGGAAGAATGGGAGGCTTTGGAACATGCAGTTGATACTGAAGGAAACCATAATTCGAGAATCCTCCCTTTGAAAGACTTGAACTTGAATACCATCCCAGACAATGTCCAGCTTAATTGTGAAGATGCTTCAACAGAAAATGGTGGTGAATCTCACTGTGATGATCAGGATGATGTTAATCATAGTTCAAAGGAACCTAGAAGATATATGCATACAAAGAAAGAGATAAAAATTGAAGGGAAGAAGATGGTAGCCAATGGAATTGATGCTTCTCAGGGACAATTTGATGATAATTCTAATAATTGGCTGCCTGCTGTGAGTCGCAGTACTCACAGAAGGTATCTCAGAAGAAAAGCTAGACGTGAATTGACCGAGGCATCATTGGAAAAAGAAGATTACCCAGATGTAGAGACTGATGTGAAAAATAATGTTGAGGAGACTAGATCGCATGGTCTAAATAACAGTTCTGAAGGAATGCAAACCATTAATGTGATTTCAGTAGATGTAACTACTGAAGAGAAGTATGATGATAATGATCTTTCTTCCATCTTAAAGCAAATGAGACTGGAAGCAGATCCATTGGAGATTCTGCAAGAAGATGAGGAGCAGATCTTGTTTTCTGTGGAGCAGGGCACTTGTGATCCTGTGGCAGTTGAAGCTATATCTAATAATACAAATACTGCTGCTGAAAGAAATGTTGAAATATGTAAAGAAGCATCAAAACAGATGGAGATTTCAAGTCAGACCACTGAAACTATTGATGCATCATCTGTTGATGACAACAGTAGTGAACAAAGTTGGATGTTACGGTCACTATCAGAGTCAACTGTGGCATGTTTGACAAGTGATTTTGCAATGCAGAATGTTATTCTACAGATCGGTCTACGTCTCTGTACACCTAGTGGAATGCAGATTCACGAACTGCATAGGTATATCTCTTCTGTGTGCAGATTGAGTGTTTCCTGCTGCTCAATTTTGGTTTCTTTCAGAACATATTCTAGTTCTTGTGCTTTCCAATTATTTTTTTGGTGGCGATTACATGCTTTTTAAAAGACCAAGTATTCATTTAGGCATGACATCGGTCCATGACACCTACGGAATCATGCATTCAAATTTGGTTTTTATAAGAGGCTGAAACATTCAATGCTACATTAGTTGGATGTTACTAAAGGGGTAAGTGTGCTCATTTTCTCAAGATATTTCTTTGTTCAGGTGGATTTTAAAATGCCATGCCTGCAATAAAGTGACTGCTGAGATTGGGAGGATTTTTTGTCCAAAATGTGGTAATGGTGGGACTTTACGCAAAGTAGCCGTTACAGTTGGTGAAAATGGGGTCATTCTAGCAGCTCGTCGACCACGTATAACCCTTAGGGGTACAAAAGTAAGTAGTTGAAACGTTTGTTCTTTTTTTAGCATTTTGCAAGAATCATATTGCCTCTTTAAGTTAACAAGTAATGGCAACAATACTTCTTAGCTCCCCCCATTCCCAGTTTTTTTGTGCCTTAGATAAACTCCGTTTTGATTTGCTTTGTTTCAGTTTTTTTTTTTTTTTCTTTTTTTTTTTTTTTTTTTTTTTTTTGTCCCCTATCCCACGAAAAAATACATATAATAAAATAAAAACCTTTGTTTTTCATGTTTTGTTGTTATTTCCATATTATTTGATCATCAAATGTTGCACATGTATGTTGATGTACATAAAAGGGGGAAAAGGAGTACAGTGAAGCATGAAAGATAAATAAAACTTGGAGAAAAATTCACTTTGAAAGCAATGTCACCAAGCGACATTGCCAATCCAGCACCCATGGACTCAAAATGACCTCAACCTCTATAATAAATTGTTGGGTCATACCCTAATAACGAGAGGTGAGCTGTGTTACTACCACAAGCCAAGCCCACTTCAACAGGGTCCATCAGCCCATTAACTCCAGCAGAAGTAATGGCATTTAAGTTGGGTCTTTTGGTCACTAGCAAAGGAGTTCGGTATCTGAATTTTGGAACTGATACATCACCCAGTCCATCAATGAGAACAATGCCACTTTCCTTTTGGGCTGTTGAGGGTTGCCCATGTTTATTTCTAGTCTTTCTTTCAACCCCTTTTAGTGAAAATGTGCTAGAAATAACCAAAATGATGAACTTTCCTCAGGTTGATTTCTCCATGTAGCATCATCTAAGCCCTGCTATCAACAATAGTAAGAATAAAAAGACTAAAGTGAACATGATCCTTCTAGATATATAAAAATTTGGGTTTGGATGTGGTAGAGTGGCTCACAGGCTTTGTAGCAGAAGCAAGCACAAAAGGAAAGGAGAGAAACTAGAAAGAGTTCATCACAAAGGTGGGAAGAAGATATGTGATGGAATGCAGAAAAAATCATAAAGGTTCCTTCATAGGTGTTTCAGAGTTTTTTGACAAGAACAGGAAGCAACTGGTTTGTCTTCCTGAAGGAAGAAAGAGCTGGGGGTTGATTGAGATAGTGAAGGTTCTAAGAGAGTTTTTATCAATAGTTATTTTTACCCTTATAATTCATATTTCTCATTCAGCAATGATTTCTTGAATCTGAATTTGTTTAATTAATGTAGTGCTTAGTGATAGGATATTAGTATTGAGTTCCATACTAATATGTAGTCATCCACTATATGAGGAACTTTTTCCCTTTTATTAGAGAAAATCCACTTTAGCTCCCAGAATAGATTATCCATGTGAGAGTAAAACAAATTTAAGAGCAAGTTTCAGCCACAAAGTTCTAGGCAATTTGTAGGTTAGGTCTCTATGCTAACAACATGAATCTATTTTAGTCCCTACAATATAGAAAAACAGAGAAAAGAATTATTTACCTCCTAAAATAGAGGATTTTTAAAAAAGGAAGATGGTGGTAGATAATTTATGTGAAGTGAATTCTTTTAGCATCAACAATCAGTGCCAAACAATAAATGTCATGTAAAATCCTGCTACAGCTACCAAGGTTCTTTTAGGCAATCCATCTGATTCTCCTTTAACATCAACTATGCTGTAGAGAACTAATTATCACTTTTTAACATATATCTTTATGTCATATTAGGTTGTGTTTGGACTATTTCTGTTTTTATCTGAAGTGTTTTCAGTTGATCAAAACAAACTGCCTGTAAACTGTTATTTGAGCCTTTTTTATACTTGAATGAGGAATACAAAATACCAAACTTCACTTACATAGTTAAATTGTTAACCTTTCAACATGAAGATGTATATGTACTGTACATATCCTTTTTGATGTGAAAGCACAAAACAACAGTACCAAATCAGACTTTTTTTGTGTGTTAGAGAGACCTAAGGGGATGCCCGTCTGAAGACCACCCTCTCCACCCTATCCTGTCCATCTGAAGAAAATCCCTCCTAACTCCTGCCTGTTTGAAGACCATCCTCTCCATCTCCATGGAACTTCCTGACCATCACCATTTAGCAGAAGATTAAAGTAAGATTTGGTTGAAAAGTCTCCATATTTTGAACCAAGCCACCATTAGGCATTATGTGATTGAGCTTCTCCGGCAGTGGCGTTAGCTCTTCAGCCTCCCAATAAAAAATGTTTCTTCTCAATCTAGATGCCCACTCTGCTGCTTGCCATCCAATAAAGTCATTACCATTCTTTCAGCATTGCTTCTTGCTCAATTGCTAATGCAGAAATTTCATACTGAGAGACTTCTAGGGAATTGGACCCACACCATACACTCTTCCATAAATTCAGCTTCTCAGCACCATCCACCTCGAAAGCTATCCATTTCATGAACAAATGTTTATGTTGTATTAATACCTTTTGAAATGCTTGATCCATATGGTTGCAAGACAAGGTTAGTTTCAGTAGAAGTTGCTGATAATTGATTTTGATATATGTTTTGTGAAGAAAAGTAGAAGCTAAAAGGTTTCAGCAAGAGAGAAAGAAAGAAAAGAAGAAAAGAGAGTGGGATGTCGCCAGAATTGAATTGTTCTGGCTGCCAACCCCTCTTGATTTATATACTTAAATAAAAGAATGAAAGATTACAAAGATACCCTTAGTAGGGCGGCTACTTTAACTAGCTGAACAGTCACAACTTAAAATTAACATAAACTATGGGCCTAAGGCCCAATAACTTCCTAACTGAATAACTTAAATAAAAAAGAAACAAAGCTGGGCCCAATAACTTAAAATCGGCCCAAACTCAACACTCCCCCTCAAGTTGGGAGTAAATGTCACACATTCCCAATTTGCGTAGATCATGCTCCAGCTTGTTTCTTGCAAATCTTTTTATAAGTACATTGGCAAGCTGCAAATTAGAAGCAATGTATGGAAGACAAACTTCCCCTGAGGTCACCCTCTCTCTTATGAAATGTCTGTCCACTTCAATGTGCTTTGTCTGTCCTGTCATGCTGAACTAGGTTGTGGCCAATGTTAATTGCTGCATAGTTATCAAAGTACAACATCATAAATTCTGCCTCAATACCAATTTCTCTTAACAAGAAACGGATCCAGAGAAGCTCTAAAACTCCATGTTCCATGGCTCTGTATTCAGCTTCTACACTTGACTTTGCCACAATTGTCTGCTTCTTATTTTTCCACGAAACTAGATTGCCTCCAACAAGAGTGCAAACTCCTGATGTAGATCTCCTGTCATCTAGGCATCTTGCCCAATTAGCATCTATGTAAGCCTCTAGCTTCAATTGTCCATGGTCAGCAAATAGTATGCCTCTACCAGGGTGTCCCTTTAGATAAGCAAGAATCTTGTCAACAACCTCCCAATGATGGACTCGTGGGGCATGCATGTATTGACTCACCACACTCATTGCATAAGAGATGTCTGGTCTTGTCATACATAAGCATAGCAGCCACCCCACTAGTCTCTAATATCTCCCAATATCCTTCACCAACTCACCTTCCGATGCATTAATTTTATGATTATGATCAATAGGAGTACTAGCTGCCTTTGTTCCAAGTTTCCTTGTTTCTTGTAAAAGGTCCAGAACATACTTCCTCTGAGAAATAAAAATTCCATGCTTTGATCTTGCTACCTCAATGCCCTAAAAATACCTCAGCTCCCCAAGATCCTTAATTTCAAATTCTCTGTGCAGATTCTTCTTCAAACTGTCAACCTCACTCAAGTCATTTTCTGTAACTACAATATCATCCACATAAACTATCAGAACTGACACCAGGGACCCCCTCTGCTTCACTAACAAAGTATGGTTTGATTGAGTCTGAGTATAGCCAAAAGCAATCAAGGCTTTCCTGAACCTGTCAATCCACGCTTTGGGAGACTGTTTTAAACCATAAATAGACTTCTTCAATTTGCATACCTTCCCTTTTCAGCGCCACTGTAGAAACCAACAGGAAGATCCATATATACTTCTTCTCGCAGGTCCCCATTAAGAAAGACATTTTTTACATCAAGTTGGAAAAGGGGCCAAGAGTATGTAGTAGCAAGAGAGAAAAGGATCTGAACAGAAGTCATTTTTACAACTGGTGCAAAAGTCTCTAAGTAATCAATGCCATAGGTTTGAGTGTATCCTTTTGCAACCAGTCTATCCTTATACCTTTCTATACTTCCATTTGCCTTGTATTTAACTGTATAAACCCATCTACATCTAACAGTTTCCTTGCCCTCTTGTATTTAACTGTCTTCCACTCGGGTTTGGAGAGAGCCTCACTAACACCCTTGGGTATAGACACAGAGTCGAGGGAAGAAAGGAAGGCTCGATAAGAAGGGGAAAGTCCATTGTAGGAGAGATACAATGAGCAATACACATTCTCTTCTCTTTTCTGAGTGCAATAGGAAGGTCCGGGTCATTTGTAATGGGGTTAGTGGAATCAATAGGAATTGAAACATTCGAAGGATCAAGAGGAATACCTGAGTCAGTGCCAGTCGAATCTGGAGTCTCCAAGGAGCCGATAGGAAGTGATGTGGGTTCTTCTACTATGAAATCAACCTCCCTGTGAAGTCGTAGGCTTTGTCATGAGAAGCACTGGGAAACAGGACACAAGGGAGGTGGTAAAGAAGGTGGTGACATAGGAGGATTATACACAGGAGGGTCAAACACATGAGTGGACACATGGACTGGAATCGAAAGAGGAATAGACTGCTCACTTCCTTCCCCAAAACACTTCCCCTGAGAAGAACCTTTTTGGAAGAAAGGAGTGGACTCAAAAAAGGTGACATCCATAGTGACATACCGGCTCCCAGAGATTGGGTCATAGCAACAGTATCCTTTCTGATTTTTTGCATATCCATGAAAAACACACTTCTTTGCCTTCGGGTCAAGCTTCTAGCAGTGAGGACCAAGAACATGAGCAAAGAAAACACAACCAAAAATCTTGAGAGGAATGTGGAACATCTCCCCCTCAGGAAAAAGGAGGCTGAATGGGGTGCTAAATCCAAGAA